GGTCCCTGGTCAGCTGTGTCTAAACTCCATGGGGAAGCGGCATATTGAGCATGTCTGGCCCCTCCTTTCCCGTCATGACCTAATTTTCTTAGGCTTCTTTGGGGTCCCCTTGGCCAAGAGAGGGATCCATTCAGTCGGTTAGGGAGCTTAGAATTTTATTGTAGGCTTACAATCCTGACTCCAAACTGTACAAGAATCCCTTTTTTTGCATTGAAATAAAAGTTTCCTGGGCCATATGCTAGAAAATGATCAGCTGTAAATTCTTTGGCATTAGGATTTCCTTATCCCCATAAGACTCTCTCTTCCCTCCTGTTTTTTTAATAATTAAAATTTTTTAAATTACTTCTTTTTTACAGACAGGGTCTCACCATGTTGCCCAGGCTGGTCTCCCAAAGTGATGGGATTACAGGCATGAGCCACCGTGCCCCGCCTCTCTTTCCTCCATTAAACAGCGCTTTCCTCCTTCCTCCAGGGACCTCCTGAATGTAAGCCTCTTCCTCACACTGGCCCACCACTCACCTGCCTCCACCACGCCAGACGCCCTCAGGCAGCATCACCCTGGCATCTGCTCTGCTCCTGGTTAGATAGAGCAAGTGGAAGGTGGACAGGCTTTCATGTTGATCAGCTTTTATGATGGAGACAGCCACCACCTCCAAGGTGCACAACCTCAACACTCTCCACCTCTCCATTAGGCATCTTGGTGTTTCTCAGGCCTGTCCATAAATTCTTTACTTCCCAAGGTGGCTGGAGAACACCTTCCCTTGAAAAGACTGCTGTTGTTAGCAACAGATTGATCCAGGATGGCTGCAGCCAGCTCCAACCACGTTCTCTCTGGGAAGTAAAGACGTCACTTCTGTAGCCTTGTCCATCACAGCAAATGGCACTACAGCCACTCCTGGCCCCTCACCTCCTTTCCCTCACCTTCCGGCTGCCACCTGTGCCGCTCCGTTTATACCTAAAAGGAAGGCAAGGTTTAGAGAAGGAGGTAGATGATGCCACAGGGGGAGAGTCCGAGAGCTTTGTGCTGCCGACCCTGGGGCCCGCATCCCTGCATGGAGGCTGCACACCTGCACGGAGGCTGGGCTCCTTGGCCCTTCGTGAACACTTCTCAGAAGGCTCCTGTGAGCCACATGCAGTGTGGAGAGCCCAGCACTCAGCACAGCGTCATTAATCTCAATTCCTTCAGGCACTTCTTTCTCACGGTGTAGTGAGGAGAGACGCACTGCAAACAGAGTGACAGGCATGCTGATGAGGGTGGCACCGCACATGCTGGGGGCGGAGGAGCGGGAAGGGCACTCTGGACAAGGTAACCCTGGAGTGGAATCCCATGGGATGCTTAGGAGTTCCCCAAGCCTTGGGAGGGACGTGTGCAAAGGCCTTAGGTAAGCGAGGCCAGGCCGCAGTTGTGGGGTCTGCACCACTGAGTGCAGGAGGCTAGGGGGCCGGCTGAGGCAGAGATGGTGTCCATGGCCACTGCATTTAGGGACAAAGGCTACAGGAAGACCAGACAGGACAGGCTGCACACTGTGGGCTGGAGCCCAGTGGCTGAGGTGTGGTCCCCAGACACATCCGTTCATCCGCCTCCTCCATGCCAGGAGCTCCCTAGTTCTTGGGAGGACGTGGGCACAGGCCTCTAGTGAGCAGCAGCAGCGGCAGGAAGCTTGCTGGGGGCCCAGCTCCAGCCCACTCAGCCCTCCTGGCTCCAACACCCTGGGGAGGGACCTGGCCACTGCCTTATGACAGGGCCTGGAGGAGTTCTGATGCCTGCCCAAGTTGGAAAACTAAAGAGATTTTTAAAAATGTGGAAGAGGATAAATGCGGATGGTGAACAGGGAGTGAAGGGTGGGCCCAGGTGTTTAGCCCACCAGGTGGGTGGCATCACTACCTCCGGACTGGGAGTGGTCTGAAGACCCAAGGCCACCGAGTGTCAGCGTTGAGCCTGCAGGAGCAGGAGGGAGCCAGGGTGGAGCTGGGGGCCTGAGCTGGGAAGCCAAGCCAGGGAGCTGAGCCGGGGCACAGCTGACTGGGTAGGGGGGTCACCAAGCAGGGAGAGGGATGTTGGGGCTCTGTGCCCCTTGAAACAGGTATTAGGCAGCGAACTGCCAATGGAGGGAAACTGGGAAGCCACCTCCCACTCCCACTGCACAGCCGGCTCCGGTGAATCCAGAAAGGCCTGTGTCCCGCCTCCCACATTGCGGAGTCTCACTCTGTCGCCCAGGCTGGGGCGTGATCTCGGCTCACTGCAACCTCCGCCTCCCAGAAGCAAAAGATTCTCCAACCTCCGCCTCCCGAGTAGCTGGGATTACAAGCATGCACACCATGCCCAGCTGATTTTTGTATTTTTAGTAGAGATGGGGTTTCACCATGTTGGCCAAGCTGGTCACAAACTCCTGACCTCAAGTGATCTGCCCACCTCTTCCGCCAATCACACCCTATAAAGGCTAAAAAGCATATACATCCCTCAACCTCCTCAGAGAAAGTATAGTTACACACAACACGAGCCTATCAGTAACTGGGAAACCTAGAGAACATGGCACACTCGCGATATCTTTTATGAGTCAAGTGACAGTGGAGATTCTTGTAGGAGATCAAGAGAAACAGCAATGGGTAGGGGGAAACCAGTACCATAGTTTGTCTTGGAGCCACATTAAAGAGTAATGCCAAAATAGAAAAAAAAAATAAAAAAAAAAAAAAATAATTTTTAACCATGTTAATTCAGAGAGTACAAATACGAAAAAAAAAAAATGCTAGTCCATTATAGTTTGAAGGAAAGCAAAGGAAGAATATGATAAAGCAGAAGAACAATTTCAGAGGAACTTGGCTGAGAAGAATGAGTAATTCTGACATTCTCTGGACAATATAATTGTGATGATGACTTCATGAGCACATAATTTACATATATAGTGTAATGTGTTGTGTGTGTGGTGTGTGTGTGTAATATTTTTTTTTTTTTTTGGGAGATTAGGAGTCTACACTCTGACACCTACAGGTGGATTGCAAGTTGGTACAATCTAATACTCATTGCAACCTCGGCCTCCCAGGTTCAAGTGATCTCTGGTATGCCTCCATCCTCTCAAGTAGCTGAGACTAAGAGTCGTGCAACCAACAAGCCTGGCTAATTTTTTGTAATTTTTTAGTAGAGGACAACGGTTCCACCATGTTGGCCAGGTTTGACATCAAACTCCTGGCCTCAAGTACAATCTGCCACCCAAAAGGCGGCGCAGCAATCAACAGTCCGACACCACCTGAGCCTTTTCCTATATCTATATCTCTATCAGTACTAGACAACACTACCGGGTTCACCATGTTGTTCTCAATGCCCACGACCATCCATTGAAAACTCCTATGACGACATAAGAGGAGCGCCCGACTCGATCGTGAAACAGTCACAGAACCGCCAGAATCTACAAGTTTAGAGTTATGTTTCCTTGCCAAAAAGCTATGCTTATTGGATTTTGATCTATGAGCCATGAAGGTATGGACACACGGGACTTTAGCTTGACATGAAGAGGTAAGAAACTAGTCAGAAACGACCCCCATACGTTCACCTTCAATATAGCCTTATACTATATAAGACATAAACTATCTGGATATCTTTTTATCCTGCTCAAAAAGAACGGCACAGAAATCTATCCGGACCATGCAACGAGTATGCGCCCTCAGAGTCGTGGTGGTTCATCTCCATAAGAGGCATCCATAAGTCACGTATGTCTGAGCGGAGGGACCGGAGAGACGGGGTGAGCGAGATGCGGAGCACCAGTAGAGAATTCTTCAAGACGCACCCCATCCACTCGCAGACCTAAGTAACACGAACCCGACACATAAATACAAGAAAACTACCGGCGAGGGCGGCACCTGTAGTCCCAGCTACCAGGATGCTGAGCAGGAAATGGCGTCCCAGGGGCCGAGCTTGGCAGTGGTGAATCCGCCCATGCGCCCAGCCTGGCGACAGAGCGAGACTGATCGCTCAAAAGAAAAA